GTTGCCTTACCTATGAAATGGGAAGGATGCCCATATCAGTTTGGATCTGAAATGTCCCTCAAGGCCTCACTTGCTGGAAGCTAGTTCCCCAGCACATGGATATTCAAATGCAAGACTTTAGGAGAATTCACTGGATCCTGAGGGCTCTCAGCAGATTAATCCATTGACAGATTAGTCATCTGATGATATTAGTGGAAGGTAGTGAGGACTGCAGGAGGTAGAGCCCAGTTGGAGGGAGTGGGTCCTTGGGAGCCTGCCCTTGAGGACTAGATCTTGTCTCTGGCCCCCTCTTCTCCCTCAATGTCCTGGTTGCCAGGAGGTGAGTTGCCTTCCTCTACCACAACCTCTGCCATGACATTGTGCTTCTTCCCAGGCCCAAAGCAATGGATTGACCATGAACTGGAACTGTGAGCCAACATGAATCTTTCCACCTTTAAGTAGCTTGGTCATAGCGACCCAAAACTGATGAACACAATGCCCTCGGAGGGCATTTAAAAGAATAAAATGAGATCCTACGTGGTAGCTGTGTAACAAAGTGGTTCAGACTGTCGGCTTTTGGCAGGTGTGATGGCGCACACCTGTAATCCCAGTGGCTCGGAGGGCTGAGATAGGAGGATGGCGAGTTCAAAGCCAGCCTCAGCGATGGTGAGGCGCTAAGCAACTCAGTGAGACCCTGTCTCTAAATAAAATATAAAATAGGGCTGAGGATATGGCTCAGTGGCTGAGTGCCCCTGAGTTCAATCCCCAGGACCAAAATAAAAAACAAACAAAAACTGCAGGCTTTCTGGGTGCAGTGGCACATGCTTGTAATCCCATCTACTCGGGAGTCTGAGCCAGCCTGGGCAATTTGGCAAGATCTTTGTCTCAAAATAAAAATAAAAAGGGCTAGCTCAGTGGTAGAGTGTCCCTGGGTTCAATCTCCAGCATCACCACCCCCAAATAAAAGAAAGGAAAATGTCTGTGGGCTCAAGTCAGATTTCCTGAAGCTGACCTTTATTACTTTTGCATCCTTGGGCAAGAGACTATCCCCTCTCTATGCCTTGGATTCTTGATCTGTAAAATAGAAATACTACCTCAAAGGATTTTTACGAGGATTAAATAACACAAAGTGGGGCTGGGGATGTGGCTCAAGCAGTAGCGCGCTGGCCTGGCATGCGTGCGGCCCGGGTTCGATCCCCAGCACCACATACAAACAAAGATGTTGTGTCCGCCGAGAACTAAAAAATAAATATTAAGATTCTCTCTCTCTCTCTCTCTCTCTCACTCTATCTTTAAAAAAAAATAACACAAAGTGCTTTGAAGAGGGCTTGAAAAGAAGACAGCATTCAGTAAATGTCAGCAATCATTGGCAAGGTGCCTGACACACAGTAGTGGGGTGTTTTTGTTGTTGTTGTTTGCTTTGTTTGTACTGGGAATTGAACCAGGGATGCTTTACCATGAGATATATCCCCAGCCCTTTTAATTTGTAAGACAGGGTCTTGCTAAGATGCTGAAGGTCACCCTGAATTGCTGAGGCTGGCCTTGAACTTGTGATCCTCCTATCTCAGACTCCCAAGTCATTGGGATTCCAGGCGGGCACCACTGCCTCTGGCAGTAGTGAACAATTAACAGGCCCTGCTGGTCTAGAGCAGGATTTCAGATTCTGAGACCTCCCTTCTCTTAACCTGTACCCCACTCTGCCCCATCCTGATTTGGCATTAAGTACTAGAAACTTCTCAAGCCATTAGTGGTTGCAGGTAATAGAGGTGTGAAGTCTATCTCAAGGGCAATGAGAGAAAAGTTCACACTCTGAGCCAGATCCCAGGAGGCAACTGATCAGAGTCCAAATAGGAAAAGGGGCTGACTGGTGAGGAGCTGCTCTCAGCTCTGTGTTCCAGAGTAGCTCTCTTAAGAGGTAAGAGGGAGTTCAGGACCATTAAATCAGTGAGCAGAGCTATTGGCAGAGGGCCCTGCCACATGAGCTTGGTAGATCTAGGTAGGAATGCTTGTGGAATATACCCCTGCTTCCACACACTAGGACCTTGTGTCTGTATCCTGTTTTAACACAGAGTACATCTTGGTTCCTGAGACATGCTGACTGGGTATTGTTTTTTGAGTTTCAGGCTGATGTGGAACTTGTGATCCTCCTGCCTCAGCCTCCTGAGTTGCTGGGATGACAGGTGTGCACCACCAAACTGGGCTTGAGTTGTTTACACCGAGGGCTTCCAGCATGCTAGCAAGCCACACCCCGCCTACCCCCACTAGCTAACATTTTGAGGAACTGCCAAACTGTATCTCAAGGTGGCTGCACCATTTCACATTCCCAGTGGCAGTGTATTAGGGTTCCAGACCTCCCATGTCCTCACCACCATTGTGTCATCTGACTTCTTTATTATAGTCACCCTAATAGGACTGAGTAGACTCTTACTGTTGATTTAATTTGCATTTCCATTTTCTTATGCTCACAATTTCTGCGGGTCAGAATTTGAAGGAGCGGACAGCCGAAAGCAGCTCCATGATGTTTGAAGTCTCAACTGGAAAGACTCAAAGGCTGGAGATGACTCACCGCTGGGGTTGATTCATCTGAGAGTGTCTTTACTCATATACTTGACTTGGTGGATTTTCCTCATAACCTGTTTTGTCTTCAGCTGAGCTGTTTTCTGGAATATCTATACACAGTGCACGGTGGTCTCACTGCATGGAGTAATTTGGGTTCCCTCGCAGCAAAACTACTGGTTCTGAGATCAAGTGTTCAAAAAGAATCAAGGAGAAAATGTATTTCTTAGTCTCAGAAATCATACATTGTCACTTAATGCCAGGGTCACTCTGTCATGATCTAAATGGAAGGACATAAGCCTTGCTCTAAATGGGAGGAATGTCACCACTCACCACGTTGCAGGAAGAACACACAGGATCGGAGATACTGTTGTGCCTGTCTGCACAATTAATTCTGCCAGAGCTAGGAACCTGAGCACTACTAGAAAAAAATTCAATAGAGAGATCAATCAATTGTTATTCTAACTTCAGCTGACACCACCTGGAAATCCTGTATAATTTCTGTGCTCAATTTACTTCAATTTACAATGGTCATTTCAATCTTTTCTGCATCCACAAACCTTTTTCTCTTGACAATGTCCATTGAAGAGGTTGAATAGGGGGCTGGGGATGGAGCTCGGTGGTAAGTACTTTCCTGGCATGTGCAAAGGCCCTGGGTTTAATCTCCTGTGCCACCAAAGGGGGAAATAGGTTGAAAAGGCAAAATACTCATTTTCCTAGCTTCTCTTGCATCTATGTAATACAGTTTTGACCAGTGAGAGGCAAGCAAAAATCTGCTTGCTGAGTTACTTCTGGGCAAGCCCTTGTATTGAACAAGTAAAATGACACATGGATTAGAGGCTGCCAGCCATACTGTAACCCTCAGGGAGAAGCCAAAAGAATTGTAGAAGTATTCGCCCTGATATCACTGAGTCACTGAACCAATGCAGCTATCTAACTACAGGCCTACTACCCAATGAGAAAATAAACTTGTTTGTTTAAGCCAGTGACATTAGAGATCAATCCAAACTTAGAAACTGCAAAGGTAAAAGGAAGGAGTTTATTTGCAGTCTTTGGCATTCCAACTCAGGAGACACAGATTCCAAATAAGAAAGGCAAGGAAAGTAGGGCCTGAACAGGGCAAGCACTACAAAGTGATAAAAATTCTTCTTCTTCTTCTTCTTTTTTTTTTTTTTTGATAAAAATTCTTTATAGAGAAAAATGCTACTGAAATTGAGAAAGAGCAGGTAGTGTAATGATAGCGGTTATGAGCCCAATGAAACAAGAATCCCATAACCTCTTGACATGCATCTGCAGTCTCCAGGTCAACCCAATGTAATCAGTTTCAGATGCCTGCAAAGGGTGAAGGTGGCCAAAGTTCACATCCCTAGGCAGCAGCTGGATTCTTAACTCCATCTCTCTTGATGGCTTGGGGACTCCATTTTGAAAAGCTCTTTCCCTGTTGTTTTTTTAATCATCATTTTCCTTTCATTTTTGCAACCCAGGCTTTCTGTTACTTGTAGCTTGATAGGACCACTCTCCTCAATCCCCTGCTTCTCCCCTTTGCCTTTATTAATGTCTTCAGCTGGAAATTCTTTCCTTCCTGTTACTGGGCCTACCTGCATGCTGTATCCTCCTTCCCTCCTAGTATGCTAGAAGAGGGGGGAGTGGGAGTGAATGGGGGAGATGCTAATCTCACCTCCATCTTGTATTCCTCTTGCGGTTTGGGTTTTCTTACTCATCCTCACGTCTGGGACTCTACCACTCATCAGCTATGTGGCCTTAAAGAGGCCACTAAAGTAGCCAATATGGGAGTAGCTTCTAAGCTGTGTGACCAATAAAGGCACCATTGCCAGAGACAGGAAACTGGCTCAGTCCAAGGAGAAAACTACTCACAAGGCCGGGGAGTGGCGCCTTGGAGGAGCTGAGGGAGCTGCCCTGCGGGGAGGACATTTGGCAGTGGGCTGGCGGGGCAGCCCTGGAGAGGTAGGCAGGGGCCGGAGCGAGCCCGGCTCTGCAGACTAGGCAGGATGATGGTTTTAGTTTTCATCCTTAAATCAGCAGGAGAGGAAGTGCACTGATTTCTCACGGCTTGTTTGCCAGTCTCCCAAGAGATGGGGAGTCCGCGGCCAGGGCGAGTGTTTTTATTCGGAGGTGTCCCCAGCGCCTAGCACGTGGCAGGCACTCACTAAACGCCTGCGGGATGAATAAATCAGACTGGAGCCCTCCGCGGAGTTCAGCTCGGATGTCAGCCTATTAGATTTTTCGATCCCCGCATTCCTCCCCTTTTCTCGCGCTCCTTCCCTCCCACGCCTCCTTCCCACTCCTCCCCTGCCAATCCTCTCCGGCCTTCGCGCCTCCCCTGCCCGGCCCCGCCCCGCACTGCGTCGCGGAGGCGGAGGGAGCGAGGCGGGCTTTACGGCAGCCGCGTTGCGGCGGGGCGGGGCGGGGCGCCGGGCGGCCGGCGCGCTTGGCGGCAGCGGTGGGAGGCAGGCCGGCAGGCAGACGGACTCGCAGGCGGGTGGCGGCGGCCGTGCTCGCTAGTGAGGGCGGGAGGGAGTGAGTCACTGAGCGTGTGTGAGGGAGGGAAGGAGCGAGCGAGCGAGCGAGCAGCCCGCGCCGTCCGCCCGCAGCACCAGCCAGGCCCCGCCGCCGCCCCGCGCCCAGGCCGGGCCGAGCCGAACCGAGCTGGGTCGGGCCCGGGCCATGCTGCTCACGGTGTACTGTGTGCGGAGGGACCTCTCCGAGGTGACCTTTTCCCTCCAGGTCGACGCCGACTTCGAGCTGCACAACTTCCGCGCGCTGTGCGAGCTCGAGTCCGGCATCCCCGCCGCCGAGAGCCAGGTACGCCGGGCAGCGAGCGGGGCGGCCCCGGAGCTGGCCCTCCCGGCCTCGGGGCCTCGCGCGCTCCCCTTGCTGCTGGTGGAGGACTGGGTGGGGGGAACGCGGACGGCGGTGCCCAGTTCGCCCCCGCAGCTGGGAGGGAGCCGGAATCCGTAGCTGCCCGGTCGGCTCCGCGGCATGGGGTGGGGTGCGGGCCGGGCGAGGGAAGGGAGGACCTGGCCGCGGTCTCACCAGCTGCAGCGTGAGGGGCACGTGGACTGCCGGGCAGCCTTCCCCACCTTCTGGCTCTGTGGCCTCTTCATCCTTTCTAACCCCGAGTTTGGGGTGTCGCCGTGGACCCAAGCAGAAGCCCTTGGGATTGCAAGCAGGGTTCATACAGCCTGCTTCCCTAACCAGAAATACCAGTTTGGATGACTGATAGACTTTTCCATCTATTTTTTTTAAATTTATTTGGTAGGGTGGGGTGAGGGTTCCTGCTTGACTATACGCAGTTTGCTTTTAAATGTACTGATTGGCACTTTAGGGGAGGCAGCAAAAAAAAAAAAAGTTTTTTAAGACTCACTACCTCGTTTTGAGGTCTTTGGAAATGCTTCCTCCCACTATCGCATGCGTTTTTGAGTTAAATTTTTTTTTTTTTTAAAGTAATCCTTGGTTCACCTCGGGTCATTTGTTTCTCTACTTTCTTCCTTGGTAGTAAGCCAAAGTCTCTCCTTCCAGGTTACAGCTCGGTTTGGGTCAGTTCGAAGCTCTCTGCTTTATAAGGATATTAGATTGAAAATGGCCTTGGTATCTTCTCAGTGGGATTTGGTTTCATTTCCCTATCTTGCTTCTGGAAAGGAGTTCAGCTCCTTTTATAGTTTAAAATATGCAAAGTAATTTTTGCTCAAAATGCTTTTGGGCTACCAGTAGTCTTAAACAGAATAGGTGAGAAACAGTAGGTGACAAGAATTCCTGAAGCCTTTACAGGAAAACACTGAGATTCTGACTTGATGAAGTGGGACTTGGGGGACATATTCCAAACATTAGGAAATGCAAGTCTTCCAAGGCCCTAGAATATAAATCTTGATTTCCCACCACAGTTATGAAATAGTTCCAAAAACTGTTGCCCAACTACACAGCTTGTTCTACCCTGACTTATGGTAAACAAATGTGTCAATATTTTGTTCAGAAGTAGGATTCCTTTACACAGTGTGAACTTTAGACCCTGGTATAAATCTATTCAGAACAAATTTCTTTCAGGGCCCAAGGTGTCATTCAAATGGGCAATCTGGCAAGTGCTACAAAGAAACTGTAAGATTTGGGGTATTCCCACCCCTTTCTATAAAAAGTTAAATCTCAGAAACTCAGGATCCAGTTTCTGCAATGCATCTCTCATGTGAAGAACCAGGAAAGGACAGTTTAAAAAGAGGACAAGTTGGGAAAATAAATTAAGTTTTTGAAGGTGGCTTTTTTTCAGTTTTTGTTCTTTTTTTTTTTTTTAATTCTGTTTTAGTTGTTTTTTTCTCTAGTTACATTACCCTGATTGTAACCACCAATTGTAGGGGAAGTGAACAAAAAAAAGGCGTAATCAATTTTGTTATTAAGTTTTGGGGCAGGAGAGAGTGATTGTTTTAACTTCACTTTTTGGGGGCAGAGTGGGGAGATATAGTTCTAGGAATGAAACCCAGGATCTCACTCATGGTCAGCAAACTACTACTGAAGTATGTCTCCAGCCCACTGCACTTTTTGAGATTGCTTTAACAAAAATTTAAGGAAATTTTTTAAAAAGGTGTCACGTTGAAAGACGCTTGTATGATCAAGGTAGACACTGTCTTCTGCCAATTTGGAAATTTAGGAATTCCTTACTAGTTGAACAATAAAGTTAACTCTAAATTCTTCCTCTCAATTTTATATTTTTTGCATTTACTTTTTTTCCCAAGCCAAATTAGCATATTAGAATCCTTGGGCTCCAGCTAATGTTAAGCCTGTATTAGATAACTGTAAACAGTCCCTGTTTTTCAAGTTTGTGCTCTTGGCTCCCTTGTAACCTGACAACATAGTATCTATTTTAAGATGTCTGGTGGTGGGTTTTCTTTCACTAGCTTGCCCATCAGGCAGGAACAGGATCCACCTTAGACACTTGAGTCATTTCCTTTGGGCAAATCATAAAAGTAAACATCATTATAGTTTTCCCCACAAATCCTCTTCACTTGTTTGAATCCACCCCACAACTGCCCTTTACCTTCCAGGGTGCGTTTCCCTTTCTAGTCTGTTTACCTGTCTCTGTTCTCTGTGTCTCTGTTTTTTTTTTTTTGTTGTTGTTTGTTTGTTTGTTTTTGTTCCAGGGATTGAACCCAGGGGGACCACATGAGCCACATCTCAGCCCTTTTTATGTTTTTTTCTAAGTTGTTGAGGCTGGTTTTGGATTTGTGATCTTCTGTCTTAGCCTCCCTAATCACTGAAATTATAGGCATGTGCAGTCACCACCAGCCCCCATTCTCATTTCTTTGCTCCCATGCCTGACTCCCTTTTGTTCAAGGACCTTTATTTTTTTCCTTTTTTTTTTTTGGCGGGTGCAGTATGGGAATTGAACTCAGGGGCACTCAACCACTGAGCCACATCCCCAGCCCTATTTTTTGTATTTTATTAGAGACAGGATCTCACTGAGTTGCTTAGTGCCTTACCATTGCTGAATCTGGCTTTGAACTCAATATTCTCTTGTCTCAGCCTCATGAGCCACTGGGATTGCAGACATTTGCCACCTTGCCTGACGGCTCTTTTTTTGATGTTTCTGGTCTTACCTGCCACTGTGTGTTCAGACCACTATTCTCCAGACATTTTTGTCCACACATCCCTAGTAGTAAAAATGTTTCATAACATACTTCTTGTTATGTATATAGTACATTATATATGTAAACTAATATTTTATGCACTGTATGTATAATATCCTATGTTGTATAACACATGTGCATTATTGTATGCGAATGTAATATCCTGTGTACATCAGTTGCATAATATACATGAAGTAGTATCTTATGTTGTTCAACATAATATTCAGTTACAGAATAGAACTCAAGGAAGGATGACTTAAATGAAAATGAAAATTCTGGTATTTTTATTTTCTTTTCATATCCTTGAAGAATTGTTATGCATGCCTGCCCCACTTTGGACATCCTTGGTTTAGAATTTAGTCTTTGATATTTTTTTTTTAATAATTATTTTATTTTATTATTATTTTTAAATTTTTATTGGTTGTTCACAACATTACAAAGCTCTTGACATATCATATTTCATACATTAGATTGAAGTGGGTTATGAACTCCCAATTTTATCCCAAATGCAGATTGCAGAATCACGTCGGTTACACATCCACATAGTCTTTGATATTAACATCAGTTGTGCATAAGCATACCCTTGGAAAGATGTTAATTTTTAACAGCTCTAGTCTGATTATAGTAGTTACAATGGAATGATAACAAATTTAGAATAGAAACTGTTTCCACTTCTGCGTGTGATTAAAGATGGGCATGTTCCCTCTCTCAGTACAAGTGTGGGCTTAGAAACCAGTCAGGGCTCTGTGTGGTGCTTTGATGCAGAATTGGCTGGGTGAACTTCAAACAATTATCAGGATTTAGCTTCTCTTTAAATTAGTGTCTTGGTATTTTTTAAACATCATTATAATTTGCCTCTGTAGGTGGCATGTACAGAATGGAAGGACCCTCGGGTTTTTTTAAATGCCAGGTGGTAGCAGTAGCTGTGATCCTGGAAGTGCTGCTCTATCCAGCATGATTGGTGATTTGTGAAACACTGTCTTAAAAAGTGGAACTGAAATTTTCTATTTAGCTAGTTTGGGCATGTTTATTTTCTCAGGTAATTTTCATGTCTCCCCCCCCCCCCCATAAATACGGTATAGGAATCTTACAGAAAAGGGTAAAGAAGAACATGGTCACTTATTAC